AAAGAGTGGTTAAAAGCAGAAACCTAAGGAGTCTAATTGCACTGTATGCTCTGGAAAGTGAAAAACAGTATTATTAAGAAAGAATGTAGTTAAAAAATGCAGATTGATATAATTGTTAAAGGGTACCTGAGCTTAAAACTTGTATTTCATCAAGCTATTACAGTTGGTTTAGACAAGATGGTAATTCACTCTAAATTGCTTGAAGGAGTGTTGGAGTCCATGATCTCCTGAGCATTAGTGTAAGTAAATTACTGATAATTTAGATGTCAGTTTTGAGCTTTGATAATTTTTTTTTGAAGTGGTCAAAAGTTAGAGGGAGAAAATTATGTAATGTAAGAGGTAGTAATTATTTGGCATACCCAAATGGACACACTGTTTTCTCTTATTGGGTGATTTTCTGGCTTGTTTGTAGTCCTTGAAAAGGAACATTTTCAACCTCTTTCAGAAATTATAGTATATCATATTATGTATATGTATGTTCAGTACTTCGTTAGGAGATATTTGAAAGTCAGTCTTTTCACAAAAGGCACATTTTAATTGAGGCAGATTAAAAAGACTCAATTTTATATAACTTTATTTTAATTTTTCAATACTGTGGTGGGTTGGCTCTGGCCAGCAACTAAGCACCCAGGAGCTGCTCGCTCACTCCTGCAGTGGGACAGGGAAGAGAATTAGAAGAGTCAAAGCGAGAACTACTCTTGGATTGAGATAAAGACATTTAGTAAGTGAAGGGAAAAAAAAAACCAAACCAACCCAAGTGATGCAAAGACAATTGCTCACCGACTCCCACCAGCAGATCAATGTCCAGGAAGCCTCTGAGCAACAGCTAGTTTGGAAAGACAGCACCCCAGTTTTATTGCTGAGCGTAATGTTATATGGTATGGAATATCCCTCTGGTCAGTTCGGGCCAGCTGTCCTGGCTGTGTCCCCTTGCAGCTTCTTGCCCACCCCAGCCTACTTGCTGTGGGGGCAGAGTGAGAAACAGGCGGCCTTGATGCTGTGCAAGCGCTGTTTGGCAATAGCTGAAACATTGGTGTGTGATCAACACGGCTTTAGTCACAAATCTAAAACGCAGCATCATGCAGGCTGCTATCGAGAAAACCGAACTCCATCCCAGCCAGACCCAGTACAAACGTAAACTTGGAAAAATCACTAAAAAGCTGTTTTATAGTTGTGCGTTGTTTTTAGTGAGAAGAGATTATCTGAGCCTGGAGAACTGTATTCAAAAAGCTGTTTCTGAATGACTGTTCCTGTCATTGCCAGCAGAGAGCTCCAAAGGCTAAATTTTAGCTAGCTGCGAAGTGCTTGTTTCTCTGTGTTTTAAGGTAGCGTGTTACTCTTCAAAGTAAGAGTGAAGTTGTTCATGTTTGCAGTATTGTTTAATTCTCAAAATCATTTGTCTTGAATGTCTTTGCCAAATAACTTCTACAAGATATTGTCAGTGAAACATTAGCATCTTTCAAAGCTTTACAGAGCTGTTTCTGTTAACAGTCTTTCCATCTTATACAGTACTTATCGTTGTCTGTAGGCATCAGGGAACATAAGTTTCTTTACTGTAATATGGGTGGGTATTGAATGAAAAAAATTTAGCTACATCTGTTAATCACTGCTCAAGTTGATAGCCACGCCATGAAATACACCTGACTGCTAAGTGCAGAAAATAATGTAAATTCTTCAAATGCACTATGTTCTACAAATATGTTGAAATCCTGTGACCAATTTCTGTGTTTGACCAAAAATTGACCACAAATTTAACAAATATCAATCATGTTATCTAGTTCTTGCAACTCTTCTCCATAAACTCTTTGAAATACTCCATTAGCTTTAAGAATACCAAATTGTAATGATATTAATTAATCTCTTACAGGTGTATTTCTACACATTGTTGCAGACACCCTCGGAAGTATTGGTGTAATCATATCTGCTATATTGATGCAGAACTACGGTCTAATGATAGCAGATCCTATTTGTTCAATGCTGATAGCACTACTTATAGGTGTAAGGTAAGCGTTGCCATCACTGATATTTGGTAGTATTTTTGATGCTAGTTACAGCACAAGTTACAGCTCAGAAGAAAAGGTTTGTCTGTTATGCTAACGACTTACGGCGTTTGCTTTTCTTCCAAGAGTGATATCGTTCCGCTGTTCTGGTGTGCTCTTACATGAGCTATCTTTCTTTTCCTTTTCTACAGCTACAGCTTTTGCTCTTAAATCTGCATATTTTACCCCGTTTGCATAATACTACAAAATGTCTTTCAGGTTCAAACTGTAGAAAGCTTCCTTTCTGTATTTAGTACATGCTTACATAAACCGATGTAGTCTAGTAAATGGAGCAGAATGGCTTCAGGGCAGCAGAGTTGAGCCTGCTGGCACAGGATGTGTCCTTGTCCTTGACAAATCAAGGCCGGTAATTCCCCCCCCCCCCAGGGAAAATGGTCTTTTCCTTTGTATTTGTATTCTGAGACATCCTTATTCCTTTTAAGATCTGATGGAAATGCTTCAAGTAGTTCTGGGCTTTCCTGGTTGTTGCTTACCAAGATCACTGTAAATGTGAAGCTATTTGGATTAGATTGGACAGGCAAACATTTCATTCAGTGATGCTGTTATTGAGGCTTTTCGGGCAGCAGTTTCAATGGTGGCACAGGGCAGAGTGCCACAACTCCAGTTACAACCTAATAAGTGAACACTTTTGTCTCTTCAGCAGTGCTGAATGTCATCTGATTAACTGCAGCTACTTACGCTTATACTATATATGGCATGTTTATACCATATGCATGGCAGCATTCACAGAATTATTGATGTGAATCTCCCTATTTATCAGAGTAGGGCCCCATGCGTCAGGCACTAAATGCCCACAGAAATCTGTGTGCTAGAGATCACTATTAAATTACCACTTTAATATAAACTTAATATCTTGACTTAAACCTCCTGTAACTTCATAAAGGACAAATTATTACAAACTAATTCTATTACTGAAATCTCAAAAAATGGGAAGGAAAATGTGCAGGTTACCAAGGGTGAAGAAGCTACTGCTGAGGTAATAGCTGAGTAAAACACAGGTTTCCATACACTTTGTATTTTAAGGGTCTAGCTTTGTGTACAGCAAAGCACATGTGGAGTGCTGATCAGAAAATACCACGTGAATGAGAATTTTTTTTTTTTTCTTCCATTTGCACAGAGCTTGGAAGAAGTCTACCTTCCGTAACAGAGGTTTCATAATAAAGCTGTTGATAGGTCTTCTAGCACAGTTAGGAGGAACATCTGAGGTCTGAGTTCTATGCTGAAAATGCTGGAGAAGTTCACTGTTTGGTGTGTCTTTTGACCTGATACCAGACCTCAGCCTGTAACATTATTTTGTTGGTCCATGACACTATAAATGATCTCTAGACTCATTATGCTAACTGAGTGCAGTCAGCTGCATCATAGTCAGTAGAAGCAAGCCTGCATTTCTTGCAGACTGACACATCCTGGCACAGTAGTGGAGCAAACACTAATTGCAGGGGATTTTTTAAATTTTTTTTTTTTTTAAGCAGTCCAGCAGACTTAACTACTGATGGCTTTGCTTGCAATGTACTTAAATGAGATCATAAACAAGATGACTGGCAGTTTCAGATGGATACTCTTTGAGGGCTCGGGTCCCCTTTTGTGTCGTTTGACTTTACACTTACACTTGTGGACATAAAGTGGTCATTGTTTGACCACTTACACTTCTGGACATAAAACCATTTTTTATTCTGCCTTATTCTTCAGTATGCTGTGTGTGTGAAGTGCTCGTCTAGAATTAATGCAAAAGGTTTTTCAGATTTTCCCATAAGGGGATCTTTTGTAACAGCAATATGAGGGCCCAACTGATGATTGCTAGGATATATAATAGTTTTGTCCTTAATCTTTTCAAGTCACCTAAATCTAATGTAGAGAAAAGATTATACTGAAATTTTGTGGAATTTAAAATTTGAGGGGGAAAACACTGTTTGCAAAAAGACTTTAAACTGATAGTGACAAGAGCTGTGTCTAGTTTTTTTAACTTGTCTGTTTGCTGATGGGGTGCGTGTGGGTTTGAGGTGGGGAGGAGGGGGATGTTCAATATCTAGTACAGGGATTCCTGGCCACTTATGCCGGCCTAGTTGCAAACTTGATAAATAACTTCTCTGGGGGATTTGGCTTTAGATTAAATAATTGTCTGCTGTTTCAGGGGAGTATTTGTCAATTTTACTTGTGCAGAGTAGCCCACTCATGTCCCTTTACTACTTAAACCAACTTTGATAAGGTGGAGTGGGATAAGAGTACACGGTGCCCCAACGAGTGGACCCATGCATGCGTGTGTAAAAATCAGGATCTGTTCTTTGTGGCTGTGATAAAGCAAGCATAGTTTTGAGTCAATGATGCAAAAGCCAGTCTGATGAAGTTGTCCAAAAGTTTTAATGCTGTCTGTAGACTTTCCCCTAGTTGGGACCGTAAAGCTTTGCTTCTTTCAGATAGGGTTGTGTAAAAACCCCAGGGTGCTGTCTCTTCTTACAAGAGTACTTTAGCTGATTGGTTTAAATGTAAATAGCAGGGTAGTTTATTGCTGATTTTCCAAAGCTCTTTTGCATGACTCCACATTTTAAGTATATGAAATTGTCCGTTTCCATTTTAATTAGCTGCTTAGACCTCTGGTTCTACATTAAATGTATTAGTAACTGATGAACTAGAGCAGGCAACATTCTCCTTACTCTCCTTAATGTTAACCAACAGCTCTTAGTGAAAGCAAAACCTTGAGCGTGGATCTTCTTCTATGTCTTTGAGTACTCTGAAGCTTTAAAATAAAGCAGTTCAAATGTCAAAATCTGTATGGAAATGCTTTTGCTCTTGGCTGTCAACTTGTTATTTGGGAGGGAGACTTCTTTCCTAGGAGAATGTCTCTTTATGCGTGTATATCTTAGGAAACAGTTGTGAATATTGCAGATGGCTACATGAGTGCAAATCTAAAGTCATGGTGGGAGAGTGGTCCAGACTTGAATATTTTCTGTTAATTTTTAGATAATGAGGATACGCTGTTCTGAATGTTATAGTCTAGAAACCCCACTGGTTGTATATGAAAATAAAGTATACATTGCGCAAATTATTTTCATAAAGTTGGAAATTCCCAATAAAATACAAACTGGTAAATGAATTTTCACTCATGTTGGTTGGTGGCTTTCTCCTCTAAGGGAAGGATCCTCAGACCAGTCTAGATTACAGTATCGCTTTGGATGTGTGTTCAGTCTAAGTAGTTAGTGGGCTTTCCAGCTGGAACGAGCTTGCATAGAGATGAATTAAGACAGAATTGTAGATGTAAATTTGAGGCAGGAGTCTTCTAGAGGAGAAACACCATTCTTGTAAACAGGATAATAAAGCGCTTTGAAAGAAGTCTTTGGGTTCCTAACTTTAAAAAGTAGCTTTCTTAATCAGCTGAACAATCTGGGACGCTATCACTATCGGGATTTGGGAAAGATTATGATGGGTATTATTGGAAGTATGTATTCAGAAACACGTTTGAATTATTTTCAACAAAATCAGGTTTATTTTCTGATGCTGAGCTTTAGGTACGTGTATTTAAAAGAGAAATTCTTGTGGTAATAGGTGCAGGAGGAGCAAAGACAATGGTGTGACAGTAGTCAGGTGTGTGGGTTTGAGACTAGTGAGAATCCATTCCATCTTTTCAACAAATTACATTTGCGTGTTTTTTGGCCTGATGAGAGATTGTTACAGGAAGATCTAAGTAATGCATTAATGTGACGCCATCATAGAACCAACTCGCAGCTTTTATATCCTGTAAAGATACTATGATGCAAGTAGCACAAAGTAATGTAGAAAAGTAATTAGATTAAAATGAAAGAATAACAGATGTTGACTTTGGTATCCATTACTGGATGTGGGATAGTATTTATGAAGTCACATGGTATTTTGCTCTTACTTTCTTGAAGTAAGCAAATGAGTATAGTGGACTAACAAAACTATCGCCAAGAACTTTCAGGTTCTCAAATCTAGCTGCTTCTTTAGCTGAGTTTGTATTGAAATTTTCTTGAAATTGAAAATAATTGTCTCACTGAATAAGTATTTTGCAGTTCAGTTTCATAATTTTCCTGAACCTGATGATTAAACATAGTTTAATTTAAAAATATATACCAGTAAATCTGCATTAGTATGTTACATTTTGCATGTCCAAGTAAATATTTAATCAAAATGTGGATATCATAGTGCACTTGCATTTTTTTAATATACTTTAAGGTCATTAAGTAGCTGTTGCAATTTGTTTATGCCATTGCAGTAAACTGTGTTTTTGTTGAAACTATGATGATACTGTGTCATTAGATTTCAAATACAAAATGCATACATTTTAGGAATGTGTATAGAACATTTTGTGTAGTCCAAATGTATCAGGCAAAGGTGTAAGCTGGATAGAGTTAATTTTAAATTACTTAAACTGTAAAAGTAATGTTTTTGATTCATGTACAGTTAATGTTTGAGATAAAAAGCTGAAATACGATGCCTTTAGAGGTTCATGAGTCTCTTTGAGGAACATTTTAATAGCTTGCATTTTAGCAAGGAAATTTTCAAGAAAATGTTACATGAAAACTGAAACACAAAATTAAGAAATTACTGAGTAAAAGGTGAATTTAGTGTTTAATACTTGGTACGTTTTTAGTTGTTTGAGGGTTTAATGAAGTTTATATTTTGCCTTTTTTTTTTTTTTCCCCCTTAATAAAATGTGCATATATCACTTAACCAGGTAGTTATTTGGCTTCAATCATGTATCCTCCAAGTTACTGCTTAATGGTCTGGGTTTGACTTACCTATCCTACCTATGCCCTGCACACTCTGTTTGATCCAGGGCTCTTTTTACAGAAAGAATCTGTATTCTTTCTGGATTACTTACCTGTCCAAAGAAGGAATAAAGGCAGAACACAAATCCTTATTCCCTTCCGTGGAACTATGTCTAATAAGCCAGTAGAATTATCAAAGCAGTTGCATGCAAGTGCAGA